AAGTGAGGTTGCATCTGAAGAAGTGAGGTTCTTACCCACGAAAGCTTATGCTCCCAATACTTCTGTTAGTCTTAAAGGTGCCAGAAGACCCTCTGTTGCTTTTTACAGATTCAGACTAACACGGCTACCCCTCTGAGACTTATGAGAAGGTGAGTAACTGTTTTTTATAAGAGCTAGTGGATAATGTGCAATTAATCCAAACTCCTCCCCATAACCACTGACTAGCAGATAACCTGCTAAACCAAGCGTCACGAGCACAAAAAGAAGCAGCACCATGGTTATCCAGAAGCCCCTGGATATGAACTAGAGGGTGAAATCCAAACACAGGAGCAAGACCATATGCCCCCCACCCCAACACACACACATGCTAACTCTTACAGCCGCTGTGGAGATGGATCAGCCAATAGGGAGGCCCATTGACTCCATGCGCGTGACAACCACCAATCAGAGAAGAGCCATCCGCTTTGTTGCCTCCCCCACAGTGATACCAGTATGCAGCAGGAAAGATCAAAAAGAGGCCCAAGTGCTTTTGTCTTCCTTGCCCTCATCATGTGCTGGCCCAGTCATACTGAAGAGCCCCAGATCAACATAAGAATGGCCATACTGGGTCAGATCAAAGGTCCATCTAGCCCAGTATCCTGTCTTCCGACAGTGGCCAATGCCAGGTGCCCCAGAGGGCGTGAACAGAACAGGTAATCATCAAGTGATCCTTCCCCTGTCACCCATTCCCAGCTTCTGGCAAACAGAGGCTAAGACACCATCCCTGCCCATCCTGGCTAGTAGCCATTGATGGACCTATCCTCAAATTAATAGTTATTTTTCTATCACCTTTCTATGCCTTGTGCTGCTCACACTGTGAGACTGAGGCATTACCCCTCATCTCTTTGAAATGAGCTGAAGCAAATGTCAGAACTCAAACCTGTATTTGATCTCTTCCAGGGGAGCCTCGATGGTTTGATTTTGTACATTGCATTGTTGTTCTTCTTCTTTTCTCAGCAACTCGTCTTTAATTCTGTTACAAACTGCTTGGGACCACGCAAGTTTCTGCACAGTGGGAAACTCTACAAAGCCAAGAGCAACAAGGAACTGTATGGTTTTCTGTTCAATGATTTCCTTCTGCTGACTCAGATCATAAAGCCTCTGGGTTCCTCTGGTACAGACAAGGTCTTCAGCCCCAAGTCTAATCTGCAGTATAAAATGTATAAAACTGTAAGTACCGCTTTTATGGTAGCCAAGCTATTGGTGTTTTAACAGTTCGGGAAGGTGGCAGTTCCCCACTTGGAGGGGTGGGCAATGCCACTGTCTGTTGCTGTATAAGAAAGAAAGGCTGTCAAGTACACTTGGGACTCCAGTCCTGTGGTGCTCGTGCTGGACAGGTTGTCAGCTTGATCTGTATAAAGGAAGTTGCTTTTGAGCATCCTATTAGCTGACTTCAAGTATCCCAGCTACAGAAAGAGGGAAGTGATGCAGAGGGCAGTGTGCTGCTTGTGGGAAGGGAGAACTTTGAAACACGCTGTGACCCTCTGACTCAAGTAGAAGCATTCACAGGATCTGGAGAGAGCTGTCTTTGGCAAGAGAAAGGGTGAATGAGACACAAGCCCTTTGAAGAAGGGAGTTTAAAAAGCGGGAGGCGAGAGGGGATATTCTGGGCACAAACAAAAACAGTCTGTATTGCGTTGAGCATTCCAGTGTGTTCAGATATAGTGCTGTATTACTCTAGCTTTGCCTAATATTTCACAGCCCATTTTTCTAAATGAGGTACTAGTAAAATTACCCACAGACCCTTCTGGAGATGAGCCCATCTTCCATATCTCCCACATTGATAGAGTCTACACGCTTCGTGCAGAAAGCATAAATGAAAGGTAAGTCACTGCAGCCTCCTCACTGCTGACTCTAAAGATTTTGATGTATGTGTTCATATGCATGCACACACGACAATCACCATGAAAATCTTTATCAGGGCCAGCTCTGGCTTTTTTGCCGCCCCAAGCTGGGGCGGCTGGAGTGGTGAAGCAAAAAAAACAAAAAACCGTGCGGGGCGGCTGGAGTCAGGTTGCAGGGGGACTCCCTGCGCTGCAGACATGCCCTGGGCAGTGGAGTACATGCCCCGGCTAGCAGGGCGGGAGGCGGAGGGAGAGAGAGAAGGGGGGCGCCCAGGGCTTCCTTCAGCAGGGCACTCGCCACGCGGCCCCTCCCACCGCGCCATCTGCTGGGAGGGCTCTGCGCCGCTCTGGTCGGCGGGCAGGAAAGGACGCGGGCTGCCCTGCTGGGCTTGCTGCAGACCCGGCACCGGCTGAGGGAGATGGAGCGAGCTCCCCTCCCCCGTGCCACCACCCTCTACAGAGCGGCGAAGCAAAAAAAAAGGATTGGAGGGAAGCCGCCCCTTAGAATCTGCTGCCCCAAGCAGGAGCTTGCTCGGCTGGTGCCTGGAGCCGGCCCTGATCTTTATAAATGTCTTTGCAAGTAGGCAACATTACCCAGGTGTTTGTAGTATTCCCTGTACTTAGTATGGTGAATGCTGTGGTAATTATAATTATTTGAAAATGGGAATCAAATTAAAAAGTGATATACCCTTCTCTAACTTGATCCAGACCACTAGGGAAATGGTTAACAAAGGGAAAACTCAATTTGATGTCATTCCACTCCAGAGTCAACAAATAAAGTGAGACAAGTAAGGGCGGTTCCACCTCTCCTGATATTTTTGTTTCTGTCTGTCTGTCTGCAAACTCAAGAAGACACCACTGCATCAGGTCACAAAACATAAGGACTAGAAAAATAACTTTTGTTAAAAAGTGAAAGCCTCAGTCCTGCAGAAGCTGATGGGGCAATAAGAGAAGAGGCGGTGTGGTGTGGCCCTCAGTACAGGCTCAGTATGATCCTTGCTTGTAAAGGCATCATTTGTAAAGATTTTAATGCATATAAACCTGGGTAAAACATCCGTTGCTCCCCAGCGGCCCTAGCAGGGGGTGTTGTGGAGCTGTCACCCTCAGGCCCTGGAAGGAGTGGATACCTGACCTCACTCTCTAGCAACCAGCTCTGGTGAATGCATGGAGTTGCAGTGAGCGGGACTCCAGAGGAGCAAGGCACATCCCTTCTCTGTTGCCACAGGACAGGACCTCTGCAGGAAGGGGGAGTGGGATAGAAAGGGGAGGCAAACGAGGGACTCCTGGAACTCAGAGGGGGACCTCCTAGGAGGGAGAACAAACAGGAATGACACGATATAGAATTGTGATTTCTAGGCTTAAAAATTGTCCTAGGCTTAAAAGTCCATACCACGGCAGGATCACAGTAGTTCTCTTAGGTGTTTTCTGTATCCCCATTTCCATACCACCGAGTAAATTAACAGAGTGGGACAGATCCTCAGCGAATGAAAATTGACCTAGCTGTATTGACTTTAATAGAACAACATGAGTTTACGCTAGTTGGGGATCAGGCCCCATGTTTCACATAGTGATCCATCACAACAGTTGCATATTCTGTATTGGAGTGGTTAGTGCAGCCAGCCAATATCTCAGCACTCTGAATATATTTTCTACCAAATTTGAATGGTACTACCAGTTGAGTGATTTTGCACTGTGCAGATGATGCAGAAAGCAACGTTTTAACACTTAAGATCACTGACACCTAGAGGTTTGGGTTTTTATTAACAGCAACTGAAATACTGCATTAGCATCTGTAAATGATGAATTTGGCCAACAATTTAATTTTTGCTTGTAAATATTTAGAACTGCAAAACCTAAGGCTAAATTCTACACTTGATACATGTGTGGAGCCCCCATTTGCCTACACCACATCCTTTCTTAGATATCATGGTACTGCTCCTGAACTCTGCCTGTAACACCAGCCTTGATGCTCTCTCTGTTTCTTTCTTCCACTCTTTTCTCTGTGCATTTTTCCAGGCTAAGTCCCTATGAGTGAAATGACCTCCCCGTCCTGGTTTACAAAGTCACCATCGTCTCCCCTTTAACATCACTTCTAAAAACTGCACAGGCCAGTTTTTCAGCTGGCATACCACAGCGAAGCACCAGTGTAGTCAGTAGAGCTACACTGATTTACACTAGCTGAGCCTCTGGTCCCCAGAGATTTTGTAATGCCCAGTTAGTTTATTGTAGTAATGCAGGAGGAATGGGAGGGAACAGTTATCCCCAACTCTTGATTTCCCACTGTGTCCTGGCCATTGTGATTCTGCCTCTTAGGCCTTCTTACATATAGACCTTTACACCTCTGCAGAGTCGCATTGACTGACAGGTGCAGGGCTCCAATCTAGCATATACCAGTATAGGCCCAGACCTGTAGGTTGTGAGGGCTCTGGAGCAGGGACTGTCTTTATTTTTGTATGCTGTGTAGTGCTAAAGAGAAATAAAATAGTAATCATAATGCTGTGGGGTAACTTTTTGTCTTTTCCTTTCAAAGGACTGCCTGGGTTCAGAAAATTAAAGCTGCTTCTGAACTTTACATAGAGACTGAGAAGAAGAAGAGGGAAAAGGCCTACTTAGGTAAAGTGTGGGATTCAATGCCTGTAGTCTTTCATGGACATGTTCAAAAGCCAGGTGCATACTAATGAATTTTGTCATTCCTCTCCTCCTCCCCCCTCTCCCCCATCCCTCCACAGTTCGCTCCCAAAGGGCAACAGGCATTGGAAGGTTGATGGTGAACATTGTGGAAGGCATTGAACTAAAACCCTGCAGGTCACATGGTAAGGACCTTACTGATTTTCCTAGTGTGTGTTCTAAAGGACGCTTCCCCTGGATGTTCCTGTCTGTCTAATGCTAAAGAAAATATAGGCCCAAAATTTAGATTTTGTGAAATGAAGCGGTTTTAATGAACCTCATATTCACAGAAACAGTTCCTTACAGGACAGCGAAACTTGGGCAGTTGTCATGTATTTCAGTATTTTTTTTTATTTTTTTTTACAAGTTTCTTAGTGTCACTCACACAAGACTCGATCCCGCAAGGTGCTGAAATCACAAGGAGCTGAGGGTGCTCTGGATGGGCCCCCAGGGCTATGCATCTCAGGACGGGCCCCCAGAGATGCTCTTTGTTTGTTAAAGTAGTGGCAGCCCAGCAGCCTTTTCCTAATTAGATGGTAATGGAAGGTAGAGGGTATTTAGAAGGATGTTAAATCCATGCCCATCAAAATGTGATCACACCCCTGCATCTGCTTTATTCCTTTCAGGAAAGAGTAACCCATACTGTGAGGTGACAATGGGCTCTCAGTGTCACATCACCAAGACTATGCAGGACACTCTCAACCCTAAATGGAACTCTAACTGCCAATTCTTTATCAAAGATCTGGAGCAGGATGTACTCTGCATAACTGTGTTTGAGAGGGATCAGTTCTCCCCAGACGGTAAGTATGAAGCTGCTACACTTCTGGTGATGTTTTCCCTTCTCCCGACCTTTCCATTTATTAGGCGTTACATGGGTGCTGACATAAACATTTAACAGCATAGAAGCACTCAGTTTATAGCTCTGACATGCCTCTTAGGGTATACATCTCCAGTGCAGTTAAAGCTGTGATTGCAGGTTGGGTACACGTACCCGGACCAGCTTTAATCTGGCTAGCACAGCACAGCTAAAGATAGCAGTGAAGACATGGCACCATGGGCTTCAGCACAGACTGAACAAGCCTGCCTGGAACACTGGGATACACACTCGCAGTCTTAACGTGTCCTGGGGTCTGGGCTGCTGTGTCTTCACTGCTGTGTTTTGCTGTGCTAGCTAGACAAAAGCTAGCAGGTGTATGCCTACATAAGGGCATGTTTAAAGCTACAGCGTTACAGTGGCACAGCTGCAATGCTGTAGCTGTGCCGCTGTAGTGTAGACATATCCTTAAGTGGTGCATTGTCCTGGTGCTGGCCCCATTTCACTGAACTGAGGTGGATTTCACCCTAAAATAATATTTCACCTGGATGATCTGTTCTCCCCTTTCACAACTGTTGCCTTCATTTTTTTTTTTTTTTGGGGGGGTTGATTTAAGAGTTACATCCTTGTAATTACTGATCCCATGAATGATATGGATGATCCAGTCCAATGGTTTAACATTTTTGGTGTTTTGTTTGGCACATATGATTTTTGGATTGTAATATAAGAATGCAGGCATTGCCAGACTGGATCAGACCTGTGGTCCATCTAGTCCCGTATCCGGTCTTTGACAATGCCCAGTACCATATGCTTCAGAGGAAGGTATAAGAAACCCATAGTAGGCACATATGGGGTAATCTGCCCCCCAATATTAGATCTCATCCTGATCACTAGTAGTTAGAAATAGGCTTAAGCTTGGAAGCACAAAGTTTAATATCCCTTCCAAAATGTTTATCATCATTAACCATGATAATGCTAGATATTCTTTATATCAATACAGATGTCCAATATTTTAAGAACTTGCTAAATTCTTGGCCTCAATGGATTCCTGTGGCAATGACTTCCACAGTCTAATTATGCATTGTGTGAAAAAATATTCACTTGTCAGCTTTGAATTTGTCACCTTTTAATTTAATTGAATATCCCTTTTGTTTCTTGTACTTTTACCTGATGTTTTTGATTAAAATGTATTCATTTAAAAAAAGGTAGATGGAATATAAAAGCAAATTAGAAAAGCCAGTTTTAGATTCAAGAGATTTGGCTTTACCTATATTAGCCATAAAACTATTGTTGAAAGAGGGCATATTTTCTCCTTATATTCCCAATGCAGATGGAAGCTAGTGCCTTCTTTGAAGTAATATGTTGTCAGAAAATAAAGTGAAAATTTATTTCACTCTGAATATGCTGATTTTTATGTTTCAGACTTTTTGGGCCGAACTGAAATTCGTGTGGCGGACATTAAGAAGGATCAGGGCTCAAAGGGACCAGTTACAAAGTGTCTCCTCCTGCACGAAGTCCCAACAGGAGAGATCGTAGTCCGACTAGATCTGCAATTGTTTGATGAACCTTAGAGGAAAATGCACCAATGTTTCACTTTAATCTGAGTTCACTGCAATAGGTGTCTGCAGAAGCTGTCTAGAAATCCTTATTCCTTTTATATGAAACTACTGCTTGTTCTTCATGTGCAAAGGGGTTATCAAAGCAAACAGGAAAATCTATGTGCCTTGATAATCCTTGCTGAAAATTGAATCCCAGTTTTGGGAGCAGATCTCTGTCTCTGTGTGGAACTTCATTATAGTTTTCAGGGTTTCTGAAGTAACATAGTCATAACTTGTGCTCCAAGCTGAAAGGTGAACAAACCATGTAGGTTGTTGCACTTACTCCAGTTACTGTAATGTTTATTTAAATGAAGAGGGCACTGATTGTATGTTTGAAGGTTTTCTGTAAACTTCCCCATAGGAATTTTGTGCCTATTGCCCCACAAAGTGGTGTATAAACATGACATGAATGAACACTTACCAGGTAAGAAGATCTCTGATTTTCTTTAGGATTGTTATGGTGGTATTTGAAATGTTGTTGTTTTTAAATATATTAACACAGAAGGTACCATTATTGCACTCTCAAAATAAGGTTTAAAAGAAACTTAAACAGTGCACAGGCCTTGTGCTAGCGCTCTCCACAGCAGTGAATTTCACCCTAACAGAGTACCATCATTTCCTGGAGGTTTGTAAATGTTTAAACAATAAGTGAAGGAGAGAGAATGTTGTACTGTACCACTTCTTTACTACTGCTGCTTAATTGTATGACAGCTGATGGATGATCAAGTCACCAGCTGTGACAAGAAATCACTGCTCTAGCTCAGGAAGCTAATTTCTACCCCGTAGAGTCTAGATTGCAAAGCAATCAGTGGTGGCTGGTTATTAAATTGTACTGTGCCTAAACATATTTGACATCTTGGTTTTGAAATCAGGACAGTAGCGTACTGTAGCTCACAAAAGGCGTTCATTGCAAACCAGGTTCATTCTGAGTTTGTTGGCTATATTAGATGTGACCCAAAAAAAAAAAATCTTTGTTTGTGATTGTGCAGAGTGAGTAACCCCAAAGTAAAAGGGGTCTTGTTGTCATCTTGGGGGCAGGGCAGAGATTGACACATGTAACTCCCCACACATATATAGGCCCTGATTCAGCAAACCTTCCCTGTTCAGCAAAGAACCTAACTTTACAGATGTGCTTAAGTCCCATTTACTTTAAGCATATGCTCAATTGCTTTTCTGAATTGGGACCTCCAGGGACAATAGCGCCCCATAAGAGAGTAAAGTCCATCATTGTTCTGCTTAGAGTCCTTTTGTTCATTACCTAGGTATCATGCATAAACTGGTATTTTTGTAATGACTTTATTTCAGAATGAGGTGTCAACCCCTTCATTGGCATGTTAATGTTCTTGTGGAGCTTGTTGGTAGGTTTTGATGTTCTTTGCATGTCGTTTTGGTACTGGTTCCCACCTTTCCTGTATAGACAGTGCTCTCAGGAGAGCACTAAAAGTCGTCATGATTTCCATTAGGAAATTAGGATATCTTCATAATGGATAGCTAGATACAGTATGGTAGTAAGTGTAAACTGTGCTGGGAAATGTCTGTGTGTTATAATTTCCTTCAAGACCACTGTAATGTTTCAAGAAATTGAAAAACAAAATCCTGTATGTTGGAAGGACAACAAAGTTTACATTTCATACTTTTAAAAATCTCTTTATTATTTATTTATTGACGATAGTGTAGAATTTTGTATCAGAAATGACAGACATTCGTATGTATTTTTTGAACAAAACAGAGATACACACTTTAGTTAGAAACTGTCAACTGACCAAGTTTTAGAGGAAGTTTAACTTCAAGGCATGCATTTGTTTACCACTAACTGGCTGAAAACACAATTAAAAGAACTTTAAGTTTCTATTTTTCAATGTTGTTAAGAAAAATGTTTCAATTAAAATCTGTAAATAGAACTAAACCCATGGCGTCCTATTTCCATATCAGTACATTTTATTAAATATAATGTATATGAAAATACACATTGGTGTGGTAGGAAAAAAAGTGGAGTAACATTAAATGTCATTGTTCTAACCTTTTTACTGCTGTCCTAATTTGACTCACCAGCTATAAAGAAGTTCAGTGTTCTAATTCATGGTTTACAAAGTAGTTACACTTGCAGGGTCACTTTTAAAGGGCTCTTGTCACCCAGCATGAATTCCAGTGACACAGTTGGAACATCTTGGGTTTAAAGAAAAATCTAGGCTATGATTTTGAAAGGCCCCTAAGGGAGGTACCCAAATTCTGTTGAAATGCAATAGGAGCTGGACACTTAACTTCTATAGACTTCTATGAAAATGTCAGCCCTAATCTCTAACGTGGCTGATCACACCTTATTTTGTAATTGTAACAGATCTGAGAGCTTGTCTGGCTAATATCACTTGTCTCAAACGACAGCCTAATCTTGAGGTACAAGCATGTATGTGTCTAATCCCTATTAATGCAAATTGGAGACATATAAAGATGATGATAGGGTGAAGCATGGGAGTTCACCAGCACCTTTCTCCCTCAATCACATGGGCTACAAGAACCTAATCCCAAATCCCTGTGTATCAAGGTTACCAATTGTCCCTTACTGTGCATCAAGATATCCCTTTTCTTTTTCTCTCCCTGTCATGCTCTGGGGTGCAGTTCAGACCAGTGAGAGATTGTGTCACTGTTTATATTATAACCCTGAATTCCCCAAAATGCTTCTGCTACTTTTGGCTCCCAGCCTGGGATATACAGCTGTGATTCAACCACTTTGAATCCAACAGCCAGCCAGCAGTTATCACAGCCACACTTTTGTCTTTCCCAGACTTGGTTAAGATTAGCAGATGACCCCAACAGACCTCCAGTCCCAAACTTCCTCAAAGCCATGTGCTCTGAAATGTTCAGCCCTCTCCTGCAACATTCAGAAGAATAATAGAGTCCACTTTTTCCTTTAAAGAGACAATCCCAAACCACTTGCTAAATTAATTGGAGTTAACATTCACTTTAATTCAAACACAGCATTGCTGGTTTGGATTAATAGTGAAATGAGTTGAACAAAAGAAGAGGATTTTAAGTAAGTTCAAGTACAAGAAATAAAGTTTAGAAATAGTTACAAGCAAATAAAAGTGAAAACACATCTAAAAGTCTAAAACTTAATCTGGCAAGGTATAGGCTTTGCTCAAGATGATTTTTCTCACTCTCCCACCCCCCACCCCCACCCCCCAAATCTTTCTTCTTCCCAGCCTTGACTGACTTTCCCTCAGTCAGGACCTTACAAAGAAGTATAAGATGCTGGCTTTGTTTGTCTTCCTAGTTGAAAAATCTTTGCCTAAGCAGGTTTGTCACCTATATTCAGTCTCCAGAGACTTCAACCTCCCACCCCCACCCTGGATTGCAAGATGCATCTTCCTCAGTTTGCAAGAGCTCTGTTCCCATGTGTCTGTCTAGTGATGGACACCAAAGATGGCTTCTGCCTTTGCATCTATCTTCCAATGGTTCAAGAGGGAGGATGACCTCAGGTTGCTCTTCCCTCCCTGTGGGCTTCCCATCCCCCTGTATGTAAATGGGGTCCCATTGTTTTGATTCCACCATCCTTAATTTACATTGGAGACGGTAAATAATTGCCTTCTCTCCTGTCTTGGGGGGAACCTGTTTTTCCCTGTTTGGCCACAGACTTTAAAGCTTAAATATTATAAGTATCCATATTTCCTCATATAGTGTTAATACATACATTTCACAATATTAATCACCAGTGTTGTGTTAGCTTTCAGAAAAAATCTCTCTACATTTTTATAATACAGTAATATTGGACACAGTCAATTGATTCAATTGCTTATCACTTAAGCCCCCCACACCTGTCTTTATAGAGCAGTAAACCTCTGAAATGGATTCTTCCCAGAATTACCCCTCAAAGGAAAGTTTATTCAAGCTGTGAGGAAGGCAACATGGAGTTGGTGGTGAAGGAAGCTCCATGTTCTTCCTTCCTCCACTTTTTAAGCTTAATAGCTTTGTTTACCTAATACATAAAAATGGACCTTCATTGGCTTTGCCTGAAGACTGGGCTGGTCAGAGAATCAAATACGCATTCCTTTGTCTAAGACAGACCTATTTACCAACTCCCCCTGACATGCTGGTTTAAACACACTTTAAGTCATAATTCCTGCGTATATTCGTAACTCTTAATACTCACCGTGTACATATATTTACAAGAATATTCATGATCAGCAAGTTATTAGTTTTCGAATGATACCTCACAAGGCATATTTTGTACAGAGATTATTATAATAGTGTGTTGGGTATGAATACAGGGGAGCTTAATGTCACACTCTCATTCACACTAAATAGTCTGTAATACAGTGGTACTGTCAGCTTCTGAAACTGAATTGTTTTAAGAGGGTTAACCCAAAGCTCTAAAAGTCTATAGATATTGATCAATTATTATCCATTTTTCCTTATTCAGGAATTAGACAGCCTTCCACATTGTTTGTAATGATTCTATGGCTGCATGGGACTTCATGCTTGTCAGCTATTCTACACCTCATGACTGCACAGTCCTCCCAGTCATCAAGGATTTTATGATCCCAAAGCACAAACCTCTGTCACTTAAGGTAAATGAGAGTCTCTGTTGGCTGGAGTACTATTAGGGCTTGTATCTTCTGGAAATGAGCCCTAGAGAACAATATAGTCACACAGACATTTGACTAAGACTGACATTCTGATTAGTAGGGGGATAAGAGACACATAGACAGTAGCCAGTACCTTACATTGTATGGAAAATAATTACTGTACAAATATTCCTTTATTGTATTTATAGAGTAGACTGGCAGTACCATGATATTTGAGTATTGACCAGTAATCTTAGAAGGGCAATACATTGATCATCATGCAGTGCCACCTTAGTCTGTTCTACTTTCAACACTTAATATTTATATTTCAATAGCCCCCAGAGGTCTCAGTTGTGATCAGGGCCCCATTGTGCCAGGCACTGTACAAACAAAGGTGGACAGAATCTCTGCCCTAAAGGGCTTACAGTCTAAAGCCCCAATCCTACAATCTGATAAATGTGGGCAGATTGCTGCTGACTTCACTAGCACTCTTAGTGGGTGTCTGTGACTCCTGGCAGGTCAGATTCCAGGATGGGGATCCTGCAAAGGTTTCTTTGAACTACATGGTTTTGGTTTTGTATTGCACCTGAGGAATTTCGCCTTTTTCCTTGACAAGTCTTCAAAGAGACTTCAAACCTGTAGCGGAATCTTGGCATTCAAGCCTATCGTGCAAAATAGTTGACTCTAAGTTCACAGCAGCAGCAGAGAGATTTCATGAAAGTAATGCAGAGTTCAGTAACACATGGCC